AAAGATCAACAACCTCAGATATGCAGACGATACCACTCTAATGGCAGAAAGTGAAGAGGACCTAAAGAGCCTCTTGCTCAGGGTAAAAGAGGAGAGCGCAAAAGTGGGCTTGAAGCTCAACATCAAAAAAACTAAGATCATGGCATCCGGCCCCATCACTCCTTGGCAAATAGAAGGGGAAGTCGTGGAAGTAGTGACAGACTTCACGTTCCTGGGATCCCAGATCACCGCAGAACTGTGACTGCAGCCATGAAATTAAAAGACACCTGCTCCTTGGGAGGATCACCCTGCCAACAAAAATACGCATGGTCCAAGCAATGGTATTCCCAGTAGTCATGTATGGCTGTGAGAGTTGGACTATAAGGAAGGCCGAGCGCCGAAGAATAGATTCTTTTGAACTATGGTGCTGGAGAAGACTCTTGAGAGTCCCTTGGACTGCAAGAAGATCAAATCAGTCAATCCTAAAAGAAATCAACCCTGACTGTTCCCTGGAAGGCCAGATAATGAAACTGAAGCTCAAATACTTTGGCCACCAAATGAGAAGGGAGCACTCACTGGAGAAGAACCTGATGCTGGGAAAGACTGAAGGTCAAAGAAGACGGGGACGGCAAAGGATGAGATGGTTAGGAAGACAGGAGGGCCTTGCGGGAGCTGGTCCATGGGGTTGCGAAGAGTGGGACTCGACTGTGCGACTGAACAACAACACAATTTTAGTAATCTTGTATTATTAAGTGTCATCCAATCTTTTATCCAAACCATTGAAGCAGCTTTATAGTACAATGCCCAGTTTGGTAACGCAAAACTGCCTCTTTCTTTGTTAGCTTGCAAGATCTACTGAGAAATTCTCCATGCATCTACAACACAAAATTGTTCTGTTTATTCTAAGAAGGTTTTTGGGAGTTCATTTCCTCAATTCTGTCTGCCTGTTTGCTTCTTTCTGTCTATTTTACCATCCCTTATTATACAAATGTCATCAAACGTCTGTATTAAAATGATTTCTCTTAAAGAATCATAAAAATTTTCTTGCATCTGATTTGGTACATAGATATTTACTGTTAGATTAGAACTGTAGTACTCCTTCCCCTATCCAGATCCTACCCCAGTACTCTAACCACTGCACCATGTTGGTTCTCAGTTGTGCCCATGGCCCAGTTTAGCATTTCCTCATTTAAACTGCCTGGCACTGCAAACATTCTTCAGCACCATTCAGGACTTGTTTTATCCCAGTATCCCCACATATTCCAAAGAAAAGCTTCATGTTGTGCTTCAGTGTGTTTGCTATCCATACTCATGACACACAACCCCTATGGATTCATGTGCTACTGCTGCTTGCCTGGTACCAGACCAAGGCCTGTCATTCCACTCTGGAGCCTGTCATTCCACTCCCATAATACTCCTGCTACACCCAGTGGCTGTCATTCCACTCTGGGGTCTGTGATTCCAGTCCCAGGAGGCAGGGCCGGCCTAGGGGTTTGTGCGCCCTAGGCAGGCAGCCTCGTGGCACCCCCCTCAGATGCGAACCTCCCGATGGGGTCTGAAAACCTCCCAGCTTACTGGGGGGAGGGAGAGACAGAGTCATGCCGTGTGCTGGGGCACGGAGAGAGTGCCTGCTGCCCTGGGCCTGGCCCGCGGGAGGAGGGGGGGGCCGCTGGCAGGCACGTGCATGCACCCCCCCACTCTCTCTCCAAAGAGACCCCCTCCCTCCCCCCGGTAATCCCCTGAGAGGGCGCCCCACCCTCCCCACCCCCATCTTGGGCAAAGAGCAGGCGCCCCACTGCAGGGAGCCCACTTCTCACCCGCCCGCAGCAGCCGCCCTCCCCCTGCCTCACCCCTGCAGTGCCGCCATGCCGGATGTGGGTATTCTCTCCCTCGGGAAAGCACGCGATCGGCTTTGCCCGCCGGCAGCCAGGGGCAGCCAGCCAAACTCCCTTTCCCCGAAGGGCAGGCGGGTCCCTTCGCCCTCCAGGGCGCTCCCGGGCAAAGCTGGTGGGCATGGGCGAGGAGGGAGAGAGCGAGAGAAAGAGGCGTGTGTGTGCCCCAGCACGAGTCACCCTCTCTCCGGCTCCTGCCACGTGGGGAAGGGACCCCAAGCCTTCTTCGGCCAGCGCCGCCAGCTGCTGGGGTTGGGCACAAAGGGAGCCTCGCCCCGCCCCGCCCCAACAGCCCATCCGGAATGCTCAGCCCTGCAGTACCGCCGCTGCCCGTTCCGCACTCGCCGCCGAGGAGGAGGAGGTGGCTGGTCCCGCCTCTGCCATGGCAACGCGCACTTGCACCGCCACGGGCTCGCTCGGGCATGTGGGGAGGGGCGCCGAGCGGGGAGAAGGGGCCTCCCGGCTGTGGTGCTCGCGGAACACGCACCGCTGCCAGGAGAGCGCCCCCCCCCCGCAGCCCCGCTGGTTGCACCGCCTTCCCCCCCGGCCGCTCCAGGTGCGCAGCCCCCTGCGCTTCAGAGCCTTGCGCTGCCCAGGCGCTGGAGTCAGGTTGCCGAGCCAGCGAGCGAGGCGCGCTTGTGGTCTGGCCGTGGTGCACAGGGCAGCAGCTGCTCTTTGGCACGCGGGGGGTGGGGTGGGGGGGCGGTGCGCAGTTTGGCGCCCTGCTAGCGGGCGAGCCAGCCCTGCCAGGAGGACACATCTCCTCTCCCCTGGGCTGTCATTCCACTCTAGAGCCTGTTATTCCAGTCCCAGAACACATCTGCTACCCTCAGTGCCTGTCATTCCACTCTGGGGCCTGTCATTCCAGGACCAATGCCCCCTCTAAGCTGTGGGGTCTTGTGAGCAAAAATTCTACTTTGTGAGTTACTGGCATTAAATGTTGTGAGCGAGCACTTTGACTACTGTTTGCTCTGGAGTCATCCTTCCTGAGCTAAGACAAAACTCTGTGGGCATCGCAGGGCTGCCGAGCAGCAGCTGGGGCAGGAGAGCGGCGGTGGCGCCCCATCCCTGCGAAGGGTCCACCTCAGTGGCGACAGTGGTGGCCGAGGGCAGTAGGAGCCCCTGGGGCGTCATCCCCAGGGGGCTGCATCTGCTAATCTGCTAATGCAGTCGCCGCGGGGTTGAGGTTGGCGCTGCCATGGACGCCCTAAAGAAAGCTCAGACCATGCCGGCCGCTTTCCCGCCCCTGCTTGGGCTCTGCCGTGCCTAGCGGTTTCTCTTCAGGGAGGGGGAAGGGGGGAACAAGTCTGCTGCCACCCCGCCCCCCTTGTGCGAGCGCTCGGTAGGTATGATGTTGCTCGCTGCTCCTCCCTCCTCTGCCCTACAGACATGCCACGGAGCCCTCTTCTCTCAGTGCTGTGTGCGTGTAAATATTAGGAATAAAAAATACCCCTGATCCCACCTCCGGCTCTCTGCCGCTTGCCACCATAGGGCGAGAAGGGAGGCTGGAAATCCCGGAGGGACTGCTGGGATCGGTGACACAGACAGGGCACAGGAAGGGGGGGGGGTTAGGGGAGGGGGCGACTCTGTGCCGACCCGCAGGGCTGTCGAGGTGGGAGGGGCATTGTTTGAAAGAAAAGGCGCACGGGCAGGAGGAAGGCGTGGGGTGCCTCCCCTCGCGGGAGGGAGGGGAGCTGGTCCTCCGTGACAGGGTACATATCGCCAGGCTCGGGAGGGGAGTGGAGAGATGTGGGCTCTGCCTGTGTGTGTGAGAGAGAGTGACTGCCATCCACAGCGCTGGGGCTGGGGGAGCCCAGAAGTGAAGCGGCTGTCCGTTAGCAAGCTTGTGACCATGTACTTTTTGCAGTTTGCACCTCTTCAGGTGGCAAGTGTAGCAGAACTTGGGGGGGGGGGATTTGCAGAATCTTCCTATCTTTGCAAATTCTGCCCTTTTTGGGGGGGGGGAGGATGATATCCAGATTTAAATAAACTGACACCATGCTCAGGTCTTTTTTGCCTAGGTTGTCTGATGTGGACTAAGTAACAGACACCTAAGGCATGATGGGGCTACAGTTCTTGACATTAAATTCTGCCTTGCCGCTTATATGAGCCAACTGAATCAGCTAGTATGCTTGGCAAGTATATTGATAACTTGACAGTGGGAATGGAAACTCAGTATTCATGCATGCACTTCATCCAATTCATGAACTAGTCCAAATACAAAAGTGAAGCTGTTTTGTTCTTTAAATAAAACAAAAAACAAAAACACATGCTTTAGAAAATAGCTGCTTTAAAATATTTATGTCAGGGGAAGTGTAGCAGGCACATATGTTTATTTATTTGAAAATTGGTGGGGGGGGGGCGCCAGAAGGTAGCCTTGCCTAGTGTGCAAAAAAACCTGGGGCCAGCCCTGGCTACCCCCAGGGGCTGTCATTCCACTCTGGGGGCCTGTCATCCTACTCCCAGAACACATCTGCTACCCCCGGGGGCTATAATTCCACTCTGGGGCCAGTCCCAGAGTAGTGTATTTTGGACCAGAGACCTTCATGGAAAATCCATTCCGCATTTTCTTTGCAACCCTTCTTCAACTGTAATGTATGTCAATGGATGTAGCCCATGGAAGTCAATTTGCATTCCTGGCTCCCATTATTTCCAATGGGCCTTCAAGTCTCTCCCATTGTTTCCATCCCCAACAACCGGTAACAGAAGCTCCAGCCCCCGAATAGTCGCAAAGCGTTTCCATACTCGTCTTTCACTTCCTCCGCCCTCTTTCTGAGTCTCGACTTTTTGCTCTGTTTGAGTCGACAGCGCCACCTTAGGGGACTTGTAGTTCTTATGGGAAGAGAAACGTGCCTAGTCTCGGGTTATGGCGTGGCCAAAAGACTACAAGCCCCAGTGTATACCCCGCGCCTCGCCGTTAGCTGAATCTAGTAGAGGGAGTGCTCACTAAGGTTTTTCGCGCAAAAAGAGAGAGAGAGAGAGAATGAGGATTGGGAGCGGAGTCGGCTCGCCTGTATCTCTTGCCTTCTACCAGGTATGCAGTGGTTCTCTTCCGGGTTTTCTTCAGGCCACTTGTCGCACGTGATGCAAATGGATTCTTCTTTTTCTCTTTCAGCCGCACTTGCTCTAAGTAATTAGTAGGCTTTCTTTTGTGTTTGTCCGGGTCCAGGATGTCCTCAGTTCACCCCTTTCGTTCCTCATAAACAATCCAGGATCTGAAACTGTGGATCGATACAGAAGTGCTTGGTGCGTCTTTTAAGATCGACCGGGATAGAAGCTCGAAGACAAGTTTTAATTATGGCTCCTTCCCGTGGGGCACATATAATGTTATAGCTCTTTTAAAATGCAAAGTATCGACTCGGTCTTGGATGAGAGAGAGTGCGGTTAAAACGCAAGGGAGCAATGGGAGTTTTATTTGAAGCTCACGCTTTGTTAGTTGATGATATCTAGCTGTCTATCTAGTGGCTGTCTCGGCTTGAGTAGGAGTTCATTGGAACGCTTTTCCCTATTATCTTTCCCTCAGGCTAAACACCCCAATCCAGGTCGTCGTGACTAACAGCGTATCTCATGCATAAGATTGCCGTGTACTCAGTTGGGTTGCTGTTTATAATGTTTATCAGGTGGGGTTTTCAAAAGCTGTTTCTTTGTTATGATGATTTAATAATACTTTGCAGCTTAGTCGGAAGCTTTTTGACTGAAAGGCAGGATAAAAATGTCTTTAAAAATAACAGAACAACAATGGTAATATTTTAAATCTGAAATGTGCTTCATTTTTATTCTTCTGGTATCATCTTTCTATGCTGCCAGTTACAAAATGTTGTAATGTGAGGAGCTTCTCTGTAGATTAAGAAAGTGGTCATATACGTAGGTGAAAAACAAAAAATTTTTGCTGAGGTTTGCTAGCGGGTGTTTTAAAATCAAACGATCCCATGTTAGAAGGGAATCTGTGGGATTTTCAAGACCCACTGCTTCTCTGGAGAGATGAGAACTTCTCCATGTCAAAGAGCACCCATGTTTTGTGTAGCCACTGATGACATTATATCAGATTTCCAGTTTTTGTTTACAAGCTGTGAAGAAAAGTAACAACAGATCCAGCTATGACCTGGTGAGCAATTAATTAGAAGCACAGTAATGAAAGACCTTTCTGGTGAGCTTACTTTTAATGTAATTTAAGTAGTATCCTGGTTATTGACAGATGCATTTTACAACCTCATAGGTAGCTGCTGAAAAGCAATTCACAAATGATGCCCACTGGTTTAACAGCAAAAGCATACTTAGCCTTGTTTGGATAGCCTTGAGTGTGTTCTTTTTAAGTAAATGTCTTGCTTCTTGGGAGTCTTGAGACATGTAGGTGATCTCTCCTGGGGCAGCACAGGTGATTAGCGCTTAGTGTGAAACATTGCCATTCAAATTAGCCTATGTGCAAACCTTGGATACACACACATACTTACGGATGAAATCAGGTTGGGCGGTTGGCTGACTCACTAACTGGAAATGATAAAAATTGTATGTGTAACAGCAAAATAAAAGTCCAGTGGAACCTTAAAGACTAACAAAAGTGAGTCAGAGCTAACTTTATCAAGTTAGTACATCTTGTGGTGGAATAAATATTGTTAGTCTTTAAGGTGCCCCTGGACTCCTGTTTCGCTTAACTAGATTTTGCCCAAACACAGGTCTGTAGCTAGCGTGGGGCCCACGCGGCGACGCCCCCTTCCAAATACAGTGCCCTGAATCTGGTTGAGGGAGAGGTGGAGGTGGTGGGCCGAGCAGGCAAGGCTGGGGCATGGATCCAAAAGGCAGGCTCTAGTTTGTCACCCCATGATGCATCAGCACAGGGCGAGTGCGCAGAGACTTTTAACAGTGCTCGTACGCACCTAGGTTTGCTGGGCCACCAGGAAAGGGGCGCACTCTGGTGGCGCAGCCATGCTGATGGCTCCAAGAGTGGACCCAAGCTCATTTATTTGACCTGGGCAGAAACACTAGAAGTCTTCACTGCCTTTCACCCTCAGTCAGCTCCCCCAGTGTCAGGCCCTAGCCAGTGGCACCTGCAGAGGAGTCCATGTGATTGCCGGCCTTCCCTCTCCCAACGCAGAGGCTCAGGTGTGGCTAGAGCCAGTGGGGGCCAGTCAGGGAAGTTGGCGGCAGGCTGGGCCTTCTTCACCTCCTGGGAGGCATTGTGCGCCATTTTCTCCATGGCAAATTCGCCGGGGCAAATTTGGAAGGGGTGAGTTTGGAAGAAACCCCATCCGTCTTGCTGTGAACAGACTGCCTTGCTGCGTAGATGGAGGGGGCCCACCCTTTTTCTCACCCCATGGTGTTTCAGTTACTTAATTAAATTAATTAAATTAGGCACTCTTTGTGCCCCCCGTGAAAAAAGATCTAACTACGGGGTTTACAGGGAGGCTAATGCTTCTCTAAAGAAGATGCTGATTTTCACAGGAATGCAGGAGTACCAATCCAAAAGCAGTAGGGAATGGATGAGGAGCAGGAATGAATGTGTTGCTGTTTCAAAAGGCATCATGCAAAATTAAGTACATGTTCAACAGGCGGCTGTCACTTTTTACTGAGCCTCCATGTTGCTTTTGAAATGTATACAGTGTTTACAACAGGCAAGATACTAATTCCAGTAATGAACAGGCACATGGTTTACTTCCTTTTTATGAATTCCCCATGAGAGTGAAAATTTCAGAAAATGCTATTAAAGGAGCACAAAGGAACTGGGGGATAACAGCATTAGGGGAAAGACTTTGATAAATAGTTTTGTGGGAGCATGTGCGGTACGGCGCGGGTGACGGGCGGATTCTTGGGACGCTCCCGAGCCGTCTGATCCATTTTCAGCTTTTTTGGGTGCCCCCCCCAGTTTCGGGGGGCCCTCACCGGGTCTCCTGGAGGGAGAACCGGTGGCAGGGGGCTTCTTTTCGGCCCCTCCCCTCTTTGGCATCACGGGGGGGGGTGTCCGATATTGCCCTGAAGCAGGGACGAAGAGTGGAGTGGAACGTGGACTCCCATGTTTTCCGTGTAGCTCCGAACATCCGCCTTTTAACCTATTGTTTTTTGTTGGATGAATTATAACTACTACATTGCAGAAAGAAATATATGAAGGATCAAGATACTATTTTGAGATGCATTGGATTATAATACCCCCAACAGGTAGTTCCAACTCTATAGAAAGCGGCCATGAAGCGATTGGAAATTGAAATGATCTCTGCTGCAAAAGGGAGGGGGTAAGAAAAAGCTATTCTGTCTTGTCTTGAGCTACTATTGTATGAGGTTGAAGGACAATATAGGCTTTGGTAAAAAGATTATTAGAAGCTAACCTGTATGCTGAAGCGTTAAAATGGAGTTGGGAGAGAGCAGCGAGGAATGGGACCCGGATATAGAAATTGCAACTCTCACAATAGAACAGTTTAAAAATGTATTGGTGAGAGAAATAACACAAGCCTTTAGAACTGCCTGTAATAGTCTTCTTAAAACCTCGCAAAATGTGAGTCAGGATATAAGTAACAATGAAGACCAAATTCAACCATGAGATTGAGGACTGACCTTCTGAAGTATGGAAGAAGAGTTTCGAAGATGGAGATTTATGAATACAAAAATGCAAGGCATTTAAAAGAAATTGAAAGAAAGAAGGGAAGATATGGAAAGAGCAGAAGGAGAGAAGAGACAAAATCTATGCTTGCTGATTAAAAAGGTTTAAATACTCTGCTTGAGATTTATATGACTTCTGAAAACAAATTGAGAGATTGTGTTGTAATGGTGGAGGAAGGAGTGATGATTTGTAAATTACATGTTTCTGTTTGTTTGTTTTTCTTTTTTATAAGGTTTATTTCATTAATTTATCTCACTGCCATTTTGGTATAATAGGTAGAATTAAGAAAAGGTATGTTTGTGGTTTGACATGGTTTAATTACTTGGTTAAGGATATATATGACTTCTGGAAATAGACTGAGAGACTGTGTTGGAATGGTAGATGAAGGAGTGATGAGTTATGAAATCCATGTTTTTGTTTTCTGTTTACTTCTCTCATTTTCTTGGAGTATCTAGTTGAGACGAACATATATATATATATATACACACACAAATATTTTAGAACAACTAAGTAGACAGTAGAGTCTCAAGGGTGTAGCTTATTTAATGTGTAAATGTTGTCTAGAGATTGCTTAATGTTTGGATGAGCTTAACAGTGGAGTAAATTGTGCTGCTTAAGATAGCACATAATATAAAGGAAATTATCAGTAAGGTATATGCAGGATTTGTAAAACATAGATATATTGTTTTTGATACCTACTGCCTTTGATCTCCAGTAGATAGATTGACTTTTTAGCTGTGGTTAGCCCAAACAGGAAATAGGTAGTCCAAACAGGAAATAGAATATAAAGTACTCAATTAAGTATGAGGGCAGCTTCAATATGAAGGTTAATTAATAGTAAGAATGTTTATGCTATATGAGTTGAAATTGTGATCTATTATTAATATTGACATTAGAGAAATAAATTAGGATTTGAAACACAGGAAGAGAGATAAGGGGGGAAAGAATATGATATGGTAATGAAGGTGTAATTATTTTTGTCAATTTAATTTTGATTATTGCGATGTATTTAACTATATGGGTGTCCTATGTATGTTTGTTTGTCTGAAAATCAATAAATAGATTATATATAAAAAAGAGAGAAACAGTTTTGTGTTCCATCTTATACTTCTTAACAAATCACAGGGGCATTCTTCCATATGGCAGCTGCTGGTTCCCCACAGGAACTCAATGAAGAAGCACTGCAGGGCGCCAATTCAGCTCTTGACTGCGGCCAGGGGAAGGGCTCCTTCATCTCCCCCACCCTCTGTCCCATTTTCCTGACCTGAAACAGTTTGGGTGGTTGTTTAACCTGCTGGGGAGGGATGGCAACACAGCTGCACATGCAAGCAATACAGTACATATTGTTGCCATGCAAGCCTATCAGTGTGTTTTTGTGGAATATGAACTGTGCAAAGGGACTGTATAATATGGAGACCTGAGAATACCTGTTGAGACTGCACACCTGAAAGAGGGACACCTTCCTTTAGTGTTGCTGCCACAGTGATAGTCCAGAGTCATCAGACATCTCACCTGCTGTGAGATGAAGCAGTTCCATAAGCCTGTACACAGCCTCAGACGCCATGCCATGGAAAGGCACAAGGACATGTTATAAAAGATGCTGACCGACCACATGGTCACTCTCTCTTACCCTCTCCACGACCCCTATCGAAGCTTTAACCCTCTTATGTCCAGCTTGCTATCCACATACCCTACCTCCATCTTTAACCTCTACTCTGCAGCTAGAGTCCACGTGGTTCTGCCGGTTCAGAGCACGTGTTCCCCATTTTCTATTTCTAAACCCCTCCATTCTTACATTGGAACGGCTCAATCAATGAGGACAGGTAAATATTGCCCAACCAACGAATGTCCTGCTAATGCAACTGTGTTAAGGATCTATCTTTATTTCTGAGAATAAGTATAAATGTGTGTGTGGTTGTGTATTGTTTGAATGATATATATCCTCCAGTAAAAAGACATTTTACTGAATACAGTCTCTGTGTCTGTTCTGATACTTACAGCAAAGGTAGGACTTCTGTATACATTGGTGTGAACCTAATTTGCCTATTGCCAATTAATAATCATAACCTCCCCTAGACTAATTAAGAATTCAAGGCAATTTGGCTAACAATATGCAGGCTCCTGGATGGGGCAAATGACCCCCCCCAGCTCATTTCAGGTTGAGAAACTGGTAGAGTGGGGAGGCAGGAGCCTTTCCTGCCACACTGCATTCCCAGTCCGAATTGGACCCCTGCTTCTGAAGTGTTCTGTTGCCAGTCTTCTGAATTGAGTTCCCACGAGAACTTGGCAGGTGCCCTATGATTGACAGTCTCGGGCCATCACATGGTAGATGTGTAGTTTGAGTTCTTGAGCAAGTCCTCCTTTGAGTGTCTGATCTTTATCAATGAAGCACACAGTCCCTTGCCCTGAGTGCTGTGGGAACCAATAAGAATGGTGAGGTATTGTGGGTGTCTGAGAATGGGGTTAAACTGGGTCAGGTTACATTAGATTAGATGGGGGGTGAGTTGCCTAAGATTCTGTTGCAGATACTCCATTGTGGCTGAAAGCGGATCCCTGAAAGAAATTCAAGAAGTCACTTGTCTTTCCAGATTGGGTGTCATGCACCCATCTACTGAAGAACACTTTTTTCTAGGACGTTTATGTGAAGAGGCTGCAGGGGACTGAGCCAAAGCCTGTAATTTTATGTCTGGTGTAATTTAGATTGGCAGAGATGCTTTGGACTGACTGGGAGTTGTATGAAACATGCTTAAAACTGGATGGGCAGGTCTAAGGAACCTGTGTGTGTGCAAGAGCATGTGCGTGTGTTGAAAAAGGACACACTGATAACAAATTAGGTCTTAACCAGAGGAGTTATTGTCTTTCCTTAACTGCACCTGCACGTACTCTGATGATTAATTGGTATACGTTGGGGCAGCAGTGGTGGCAGTCGGCACTGAGAAATCTCAGCTTGTATGAAGGCAGGCCTACTTTGACCTGAGGATGTCCCTTTAATGCTTTGTAACCCTGCTAAGCTCTGGGTCTTAGCCTGGCAGTGGCACTTCTCCCTGTGCTGCTGCCTGAGAGGTTTAGTGGAGTGAGGCACCTATGGGCCTTGGACATACACAAGAGCACGTGATTTCTGGCCGAACTAGTGACGCCGACAGCACCACCTCCTCCCTCCCTCCCTCCCTCTCTCCATCCTTCCTTGCTTACAGCTGCCCACGCACAGGTCCTAGTCACAATAGTGCAGTCATAACCTCTTTCTCTTGACAGAGGGGCGAAGGCAAAGTCTGATTCCACCTTACTTGTTGGAGAGCTAGAGGAAGGACATCAATATTTGAAACCAGCAGTGCCCCACTCAGAACCCTTCAACGTTGTCCAGTCCCCACAGCAATGGATAAGGATCCTTTCCTCCAGCTTCGAGTCTTTGACCTCAATTGCTGGTGAGTTTCCTACCTATGCTTTTGGCTGAGATGGCTACGAGGGTTAGATTTGTTCTGGGTGAGCACACTGTGTGTGGGGATGGGGGTGTACTCTCTCACCTTAGACTCCTGGATTCTACTTCTTATTTGGAAATATGGGCAGAGCAGGTCCCTTCTCTGTCAGGTTTCCCCTTTACAAAATGGAAATAATGAAGTTTTTCCTCCTGCAGCAGGGCCTAGGGGGGCTGTAATTCCTCAGTACTTTGGGAGTCTGGCACAGAGTGTTCTCTGAGATCACCCAAATGCTTCTCTTAAGCCTAAACATGATGTTTTTTTTAATTTGGCTGTCAGATATGACTAACCTGGCTATGTTCTCAGAGTGCCCCAAGCCATTTGGTGGTGTCTTCAGACATGCAAAGAGTGAAAGGTGGGGTCACAAGGGGGGTATCTCACCTGGATGCTCCATTCGTTAGCTAGTTGCTATGCTGCTTTTTGGCCCTATTTAGGTTCCCCAAGGGGTCTCCCAACACAGGAGGGAGACTTGTGAGGAGCTCACCAAGGAGAGGAAATCCTTGCCCCGCTACCATTTCTACAAAGTTTATTGGGGATGCTACGTGCCCACCCGCAATGGCAGCCAAGATCTTGATAGTATCCAGGAGATCATGATTTCCCCCCTATAAGTTGTGAGGTCTGTTTACCTCACCTTTTTCTCCCTCTGATTGTCCTGCAAACCTCTTCCCGATTACTGGATAGCTCCCTTCTTGTGGACTTTTTTTGATCCGCACATGTTCAGAATTAGATACACAGATAAAAGCAGTGAAAAGAAACAAAACCATTCAAAAGATGTGACAAAATAGCGCATGGTGCTGTCAAACTGACGTCAGTTGATCAGTTCGTTGGCTTCCTGGAACACAGATGTTTTCAGCTTTCTCCAGAGGGCCTGTAGAAATGATATCAGCTTCAGCTCTTCCATAACTTGGAGGTGGCTACTGAAAAGGTCCTGTCGTGAGTATTTACTAGTCTTACCTCAGACAATGCTGATTCCTCTAGAAAGGCCTCATGCATTGATTGTGGGGCCTGGGCAGGCTGGTAAGAGAGGAAGGAGTGCTTTGTATTCTATTGGCCCAAACCCTTTAGGGCTCAAAACTAATCCCCTTGAATCGAGCTTGGAAGCCAGTGCTGCTGTAACAGAAAGGTTTGTGTTCTTTGTGATGGGCCGCAGTAAGAATCTTAGCTGCTCTGTTTTGTCCTGGATTGATGCTTCTGAATCATCTCTACAGGCAGTGCCATGTAGAGCACATTGCACTAGTTTGCTCCAGATATCCTCAAAGGATGCGTGACTATGACCAGAACAATTTTTTTTGTAGGAACAGCTGCGGCTAGGAAGCCAGCCTAAGCTGGGAAAGGGCATCTGGCCACTTTCTCCCCTCCAAAGACAGTGAAGCATCCAGGCGTGCCCCAAGACTGTGCCCCTAATGCTCCAGCAGGAGGGTCAGCCCTGTCCAGGACAGGCTTTATTTCCAACCAGCGGCATTTCTATTCCTTTTCCCTTCTAGGGCACTTCGCTACTTGAGCAAATTACGGCAAGAGCGCATTGCACTGATCGGCGATGTCCTCAACCAGGAAGGATTTGACCTAGCACTCTTGCAGGAGGTGAGGGCTTAGTGGGAACAAATCTGTTCCAGTGGATATTGTTAGGCTTGAATCTGGGAGTTCGTCTCTTAGCTCAGCCATGAAATTAATGGGGCAAAGCACTAGCCAGCCTATTGTAGAGTGAGGTAGCTTGCCTTTCAGAATGACTGTAACATTTTAAAGCATGCTGCATAGTTAACGGTAGTATGTGCATGTACTTAATAAACACGAGTCAGACCATATCTAGGCCAGCATCACGTACTCAGACTAGCAGCAGTTCTCCGGGTTGTCTCAGGTTGTTCACATAATTCCTTTTTTCCTCCTTCCAACTACAGATGCTGGGGATTGATCCTGTGAGTGCAAAGCAGATGCACTGCCTCTGAGCCACAGCCCTACTCCAAGGAACAGTTACCGGGGGAAGGGGGGATAGTTGGAAGTAGGCCTGATCTCTAGGTTCACTTGCTGCTTTTGGTCCTTGATCCGAGATCACTGAAATCTCAGTCTTTCTGCTTTTCCAGGTGTGGAGTGAAAGAGACTATTGGGAGCTGAAAAAGAAACTGTCTGCCCGCTACCCTTCTTCCCACTATTTCAAAAGGTAAAATCAACTAAAAAAGTCCCTTGATGACAAGCTAGCTGAATGGCTGTCATTTGACCACTCATAGCAGTGGATGAGAACAGTTCTAATAGGCTTGGCCTTGCAGATCAGCAAATTGGCATTTTAAATTTTTTTACTTCTTTTATAGTCTGTCAAGGGAGACATGATTGTTCAGGGGGTTGGAGAGTCCCTTCATGCATGTGGGAGTTACACCCTTGTAAACCCATTGACTTCAATGAGCCTAGAAGGGTATAACTCTGTTTAAGACTGCACTGCTAGTTCCTGAGAGTGGAGGTGCCTCATGAGCAGAGATAAAGATGTGCTCACATCAGACTGAGAAAGGACAACTCGCTTGTTGCTTTCACTTCTAGCCCTGTTCTTCCCTCTCTGATTGGATCTCCCAGCTCTGATCCAGCAGACAGTGGTCAAGGTAGGGTAGAGCATGGTACAGCTCAGTGTCAGCTCTACTCTTGATATCATGCATATTTGGGCACAGAAGTGATCCTTCTGATTGATGAAACATTCTACATTTCAGTTGCCTTTTGAAACACAATGTGTACAACTGACTTACATTATGGTGCTGGAGCTGGATGCATGTCTGCAACACACTGGATATAAAAGTAGCCTCCAGATTTACATCAGTCAGGCAACGCTTACAGCACATGCAATCACAAGAACATTTCCTTTTTCTTTCTTTTTTTTGAGCCCCCCGAAGGGGATTTTTTAATTGCATTTTCTATAAACTACAAAGAAACAAGGAAGGGTATCTACAAACTACAGGTGAAAGAAAAGAAAACCACTAAAACCCCAAAAGGTGGTGGCCATTTCAAAAGCTTATAAAATTTGCTAAACTGTTAAACAAAGTTACATTAAGTGTGATCAATATATACCTGGCTTATATTTATCAAAACCAGTTAAAAGTTACTGTTTAAGGTATATCCCAGAAGCACAACTAATAAAAATTTCTATTTAAGGCAAACTTTAGAGTCATTCAGCATCTCATTTTTCCCCCTTCTGTTCCTCAACTGAGAGCTTTGTTTGGGGGCTGCTGCCCCACATTGCAAATCAGAGTCTTCTTCAGAAGATGTAGTTTCAGACTCATCTTCACTTCCTTTGTTGCTGTCATCATCTTCTTTGCTGTCCTCTCCTGTAGAACCAAGTTGCTGCTTCAGAAACTCAGGGGCTTTAGTAACAGAGTCAATTCTTTCTTTCTTGTCGTTTAGCTTGAAAAGAATGCTATCGGGTACCAGCCATCTGTAGGGGATGTTGTTCGTCTGCAAAAACACTGCCAAGTCTTTGAATTTCTTCCTCTTCTTCCTGATTTCAAATGGAATATCTTTCAAAACCCTTATTTCTTTGTCATCAATTTTTAGGGATGTTCCTGATGTTGCTTTCAAGATTTGATCCCTCACATGTCTTTTAGAGAATCTGACCACTATCGCCCCAGGCCGATTATTATTCTTAATATATTCTGAATATGATCGGTAAACCACATCAATCTCAGTTTGGATACATTCCGCTTTTAAATCTGCCACCGGGGCCAAAACATCACTCAAAACTTGTTTCAGATTCTCCTCTTTAGTCTCAGGAAACCCCTGAAATCTCAGGACATAGCTTGCTTTTTCCATTTGTAGTTGCAAAAGCTATGATTCATCAGTTGTTCTCTTCTTTTCCAATATCTGTACACGTTTTTTAACCTTTTTAGTCTTGGCATCCACTTCCTTCACTGTCTCAGCTGTCTGCTCTGTCTTTTTAGTAATTTCGCTTAGTTGGAGCTGTTGAGCTGCAAAGTTCTGGTTTAGAGTAGTCAGTTGTTGATTTATGGTTGTCATTTGTTCCAGCAGAGGGCGCAAAGAGTTAGCTAACATCTTTGAGATGTCTGTGGTAATTTCCGGTCAGGTGGTTAGACCAGCTGGGCTCAGACTTCCTGAAGGAGGCTTGAGTTTTGCTTGCTTGTCCTTCTCTGGTTTTTTGCCCGCCATCTTTGAGGATATTGACTTTTAATTTTTTTTGCCAAAGTCTCTATTGCTCGCTCTAGCACCTGGCGTCTCTTGTGGGATCCTTAAAACAGTTCCGTTTTGCTTTTAAATTCACCTCCCCCCCATTGGACATGTCTCTGTCAGTTTCTCTATCTGGAGAGTTCCCTGCCCCGCTCGTTTGTATTGGGGGGGGGGCTTTATGCTGTTATCCTGGTATTTTCATTTGGGACTCACAGTTCCTGTTGGCCTGTAGACCTCGCCAAAGGTACGTGTTGCTTGCCCGGCCTCCACACGCTTGTCCCAGTCAGCGGCTCGAGTTCCATTTGGTTGCACAGCGGCAGGACCTTCGGGGCAGAAGGGAGCCTCAATTCTCCAGCAGCATGCCAGAGGAGAGGCAACCCTTTAGTGCCCTATGGCTAGGGGCCCAACACAAGGGCCCCGGGGGAGCGTGTACTTTCACACCCCCTCCCAACCACTGGCTTGCAGATCGCGTCCCTGGGAGCTCTCCAGGGACACGTCCGCCACTGAGACGCCAAAAACCGGAAGTCCACAAGAACATGTCCTGAGTGGCTAGTAAATGATTGAGTCTTCTGGTTCCATAGCAACATCAGTAGACCACCAATTTTATGATCACTGACAAATATTGTCATATTTTCTATGAAGCCAAGAATACCCCATATTTATTTTTGTCATGTTGCAGCTGATTTATGGCTACCTTGTTGGAGTTTCAAGTCAAGAGACATTCAGAGCTGGTTTGCCATTGCCTGCCTCAGTGTCTCAGCCCTGGTATTCCTTGGTGGTCTCCCATCCAAGTACTAGCCAGGGCTGAGCGTACTTAGCTTCCAAGACTGGGCTAGCCTGGGGTATCCAGGTCAGGGCTACTTATATCGCCACTTATGTAGCTGGCCTTTATTTCACTATGCATCATTTGTCAGCAAAGTCAGGGCTGAGGGCAGCAGGCAGGCCCAGACTTAACTGTATGGCAAAGCTTCTCCTGCTGGCCACTTGCTCTGCCTGTAGGCAGCTCCAAACATGTTATTTAAAAAAAATTATACCCACCCTTTGATCCTAGTGTTTCAGGACAAAAGCAGGAAACAACAAAAGGTGTGTGTGTGGGGACAAAAGCAGGAAACAACAAAAGGTGTGGGGGTGGGTGGGGGACCGAACCTGAAAATCAAGTCAGGAACCTAAAAGATTGAGCAGCTAAAACATGAAATAAAAATACAACTATTTATTGCACAGTGCACAAAATCATAAGATTAACAACAACATACATAAAATTCAAATGAAAGCTCAGAACATATTATACAGCAACAAGTGTAAGATGCACATACAATAACTACTGGATCTCAGTAATGGTTACATCCATATCTCCCTTATAAATAAAAACTGAATGGTGGTGGCACTTCTCTAGAACATTCCACACGCTCCAAAATCAGTTCGCTCTCTGATCCGTCATTCAGAGGGTCGCCTCAGAACACAGAGGTTGTTTGCATATGCGACTTGATTGGCTTTTGCCTCTAACATTGTAAACAGTTTTGCTGTTCTGAGGTAAAATGTGTCCAATCTCCAGGTGAGGGCTGGAGATCACTCAGAATTACAACTGCTTTCCAGATGGCAGAGATCAGTTCCCCTGGAGAAAATAGTGGGTTATATGCTGCTGAGGTGGCCCCCGTATGACAGCCAATGTGACGTAGCAGTCAGGGCTTCAGAGCGTGGGAGAGGCTGCAGGTGTGTGGGGGGTGGAAAGCTGAAGAGTGAGGGGGAAATAAAGGTAGGTTGATGATTGGCTGAGAAGGAGATAGGGTTGCCAACTCCAGGTGGGAAATTCCTGGAGATGTGAGGGATGGAGCCTGGAGAGGGTGAGGTTTCAGGAGGCGTGGGACCTCGGACAGGTACAAAGCCATAGACTCCACCCTCCAAACCATCTCTTCTCTTCTGGGGAACCATCGTTGCCAATCTCCAGGTGAGGGCTGGAGATCACTCAAAATTACAACTGTTCTTTAGGTAGCGGAGATCAGTTCCTCTGGAGAAAATGGTGGACTCAGTGTCATTATACCCTGCTGAGGTCGCCACAGGAAATTGACACTGAGTGTCCAAGGCCGGGGCACCCGCCCAGAGCCTCTTTCTAGAGGCCGTTGTATTTATTTCCACAATGGGGCCTTTTCCCTAGTATATAATAACCACAGTGTGTAAGTTATGATATTATTTGAGTAACATTGAGTATGCCCCCCTCTCCTCTTTTCCTACCCCTCCCTTTTAGAATTTGAAGCCGGGTTGCACATACATCACTGAGATTGCATCGTCCTTCCTCCCCTCCAACTTCTATATTAGACCTCCTAAGACTAGTCTTAGAATCCCTTCATTTCTGGTTTACACATGAACACACACAGGGGACAGAGCAACAGCCAAGGACAGGTCTGTATGTGAAAATTTCTAAAAAAACATTTAGGATTACTTCTGACTTTAAGTGGGGGCCCTACTCAGTGTTACTCAAATAATACCATAACTTAATTACACATTGATGCTGTGCCATCCGTCTCCTTCACAGAATGGTAGTTCATGAATGTGGGCTCCGCAGTATATGCAGGCCTGATTTATAACTATTATTTGAAGCGATACTTTTTCAGCCTAAGTACCAGCCTGTTCCTTATAAACATTTTTTTTGGGGAAAAAACACCTTTCTTGTGAAAGTCAGTATGTTATAATTTAATAATATCCTTACATGAGTATTTTTTAATTGTTTTTAGGACTCATACACAACTTGCTTGGCCTGAAAAAGATATTTTATATTTACATTTTAATGTGTATGCTGGTACAATTTAGAACACTGAAGAAGGCTCTCTGGGCCAAAAAGCATTTGGTCCTGTGGTTATTACATTTGTGTAACCGTTATTGAGATCCAGTAGTTATTGTAGGTGCAACTTACTCTTGTTGCTGTATACAATGTTCTGAGCTTTTATTTGCATTCTATATATGTTTTTAATCTTATGTTTTTGTGCACCATATAATAAATAGTTGTACTTTATTTCGTGTTTTAGCTGCTCAACCTTTTAGGTTTTTGGTTTCAGGACAAAAGCCAAAGTATCTAGTCAATTGCTCAAACTTATAGAAATTTTGCCTAATATTGTTATTGTTTCTTTAATTTTTGAAAGTTCATTCCATTATTTCACTATGAATCGTTTTTGTAATTGTCATTAAGTATCAAACCCACTGATTATCAAAGTTGTTATTTTTGTTTTAATAATGTTAATGAGAGCTGGCGTAGTGTAGTGGTTAAGAGCAGCAGACTCTAATCTGGAGAACCAGGTTTAATTCTCCACTCCTCCACATGAAGCCTGCTGGGTGACCTTGGGTCAGTCACAGTTCTCCCAGAACTCTCTCAGTCCCACCTACCACACAAAGTGCCTGTTGTGGGGAGGGGAAGGGAAAGGCAATTGTAAACCACTTTGAGATGCCTTCGGGTAGAGAAAAGTCGGGTATAAAAACCAGCTCTTCTTTTTCTTCACAAACAATATTTGATTAATCAGTTGACCAAATATTTTTGGACTTGTCAAATAAACTCAATTTCATTCTGCATATTAATTTTAAATTCTTTATATGGGCTACTGTCAAACAGAATGCAGGTTACCAAATATTACTGTCCACTTCTTTGACATCTATATGGCCTCCATTTATAAATTATTTCGAAACACCGCTTTTGCTGGCTGACAAGTCATTGGCTGTTTCATGAGGTTAACCACCAAGGCATTAGGTCACTGTAATGTTGACTGGTGTCATTATACCTCAGTGCCTCCTTAGAGTTAGGAATAAATTCCAACAAAGACCCTGAATGCTAGTTGTGGTCCATAAGTCTTGCCCACAAAACTTCCTTGCCGGGTATACTTGGGCTGCATTATTCTACACATGGTTGGATACTGTGCTATCACTGTGCTAATAATTCACTACAGCAAGGATCCCCAATATGTTAGGTGACATGGCACCTGCCAATGCCTTTCCTGGTGACCACCAAATGTTTTTAGATAGTGGGCAGGGTCAGGTGGGGCTTTTGCCCAGCAAGGCTTCTGATTGGTCACTGGAGATTTAATTGACTGTAGGGATATCTAAAAATGTTGCTTTGGCAGCAGCTGCCACCACTATAATAGAATCTTCACTGTGTGACTGAAGGTAAACTGCAGCAGCCATTTAATGGTTGGCTCTGCCTTCTGAAGCAGCCATTTTGTAGTTGTGCCCACTACCTCGTGTCAGAATTCCAAAGGTGCCAACAGGCTCAAAAACAATTCTGCACTACATGCACTATAGGAATGATGATGCAGTTGCAGATAATTGCTATAGCACAGCAGTAATGCAATATGCAGCAGTGTGTAGATGTCGCTTTGGAAGGCCCAGGTAATCACTTGACGTAGCTAATATGCATTGGCTGGTAGTGCAGCAAGAGATCATGGTGGTGACTGTAGGGTTTGTCTGTCTGTCTGTCTTAGTGGGGTGATTGGCAGTGGGCTCTGCATCTTCTCCAAACACCAAATCTTGGACACCTTCCTGTACCAGTACTCTGTGAATGGCTACCCATACATGGTGAGTGAATAATGCTTTGGTTCGGGGTGGTAGGACAGAGCATTCTTTACAGTGATGTGCTCTTGGGGACCAATCTGTCTGGTGTGTGTCTCATACCATCCCCTACTTTGCCTCTTTGCAGCTCCAGCATGGGGACTGGTTCTGTGGGAAGGCTGTGGGGCTTGTGGAGCTAAAGATCCAGGGCATAGTCTTCAATGTCTATGTAACACATGTGAGTAATTTTATTTTAATTTGTTAAGTGTAGCTTTATTTTATTTATTTATTTCTATTCTGCTCTCCCCTACAATTACAACATATAATAAACAATTTTGAATGCAATTGAAATCAATAAAATACAACTTCAAACATTAATTAGATGGCGTATAAACAATGTCGCTGTTTTGGGGGGAGGGACACTCTCCTGTCTCATCCATAAGTTTGGCGATACAGTTCCGTTTTGAAGGCCCTGTGGAATTCAAACAAGTCCTGCAGGGCCTGCAGGGCCTGGATCTCACTTGGAAGTGCACTCCACCAAGCTGGGGCTATTGCTGAAAAGGTTCTGGCTCTGGTAAAGGCCAGGTGAATGTTCCTTGGCTGTGGGACCGTCAGAAGTTTGTTATTTGAGGAGTGTAATGCTCTCGTGGGGGAAATGCCCAAGAGGGGCAGTCCCGAAGGTATGTTGGTCCCAGACTGTAAAGGGCTTTGAAGGTTAAAACCAACATCTTGAACTTGAACTGGAATTCAATCTAGAGCCAGTGTAGCTGGCACAGCACCAGCTGGATGTGTGTGCTGAGAACCCTCACCACTGCCTTCTGGACCAGTTGCAGTTTCCAGGTCAGTCTCAAAGTTAGCCCTACATAGAGCGAGTTACAGTAATCCAGTCTGGAGGTGAGTCACCGTAGCTAGATCCGTAGCCAATCTGAAGTGAATCGTTGCTATATCCAGGCGAGATAGGAAGGGAGCCAGCTGTTGAACTTGGCGTAAATAGAAAAATGTCAATCTGGCCACATTTGTGACCGGGGCCTCCATTGATAATGAGGTATCCAGAACCACACCCAGGCTCTTCACTATTGATGTCAGCAGGGTGTTGTCCAAACTCAATAGCTGTATACCCAATCCCAGGTCTCCCTTCCCCAGCCACAGGACCTCCGTCTTCAATGTATTTAACTTCAGCCTGCTCTGTTTCAGCCATCCAGCCACAGCCTCCAGTCCCTTTGCCAGATTTTCTGGGGTGGCATCCAATTGGCCATCCATCAACAGATATAGCTGGGTGTCATCAGCGTAGTGGTGACAACCTGCCCGAAACTCTGCACCAGCTGGGCAAGGGGGTGCATAACATTAAGGAGAAAATAGCCCCTTGAGGGAGTTGTGGTGAAACACTCTCCCCTAGCTCCACCCTGTATCCCTTACCTTGGAGAAAGGAGACGAACCACTTCAGAAAATCTGGCGAAGGGACTGGAGGCTGTGGATGGATGGCTGAAACAGAGCAGGCTGAAGTTAAATCCATCAAACCTGAATGCTTACGGCGACTGGCGGTGGGTCAACAAATCATGGTCAGTCATGTCAAACGCTGCTGACAGATAGAGTAGCAACAGCAACGCTGATGTACCTCGATCCAGATGTCAGTTAAATCCATCAAACCTGAATGCTTACGGTGAGGCGGTGGGTCAACAAATCATGATCAGTCATGTCAAACGCTACTGACAGATAGAGTAGCAACAGCAGCGCTGATGTACCTCGATCCAGATGTCAGTGGAGATCATCTGTGAGGGCGACCAGAGCCATCTCCATCCCATAGCCAGGACGGAAACTGGACTGGAATGGGTCCGGGATCTATGTGTCCTAGGCTTTAGGAAAACCTGAAGTTGTTCTGCTGCTGCTCTCTCAATGGCCTTACCCAGAAATGGAAAATTCGAAACTGGGCAGTAGTTGGCTGGATCAGTGGGATCCAGTGAAGGTCTCTTTAAAAGCAGGCATACTATTGCCTCCTTTACATTCCTTGGGAAGACCCCAGAACTTAGGGACAGATTTATAATGTCTGCCAGGGCAACCCGTATTCCATCTCCGCTGGCTTTAGCCAGCCATGATGGGCATGGGTCCAGGAGACGTCGGTTTCACAGCACCCAGGATCCTATCAGCATCGTCCTGGCAGAGCAGGCTGAATTGGTCCAGTGTGGGATCTGAAGATGGCCAAGGGGCCTCCAGTTCTCTGACTGTATCAATATTGGCAGGCAAGTCCTGGCGGAGCAACAAGACTTTATCCTTACCTTTCCAGCCCCAGACCTGGGCGATCAACATGAGTTACAAATAGGGGGAGGAGGGGAGAAGACACTTTCCGTCATCTTAGATCAATTACAAATGTTAGCATTTTCCTATTGGACTACACAGAACCCCTTACAAGTTGTACTGGCTTAGCTCAGAATTGGCTATCTCCGCTTTACAACAAACCTGCCAACGGGATGCATATGAATAACCCTAAACAAGGGTGGCCAAACTGTGGCTTGGGAGCCACATGTGACTCTTTCACACATATTGTGTGGCTCTCAGCAGGGCGGCTGGGTAAGCGAAGGGTAGCCATGCTCCCTCCCTCCCCCCCCATCCATTTGCTTTCTTTGTTTCTCCGTCTCTTTCTCTTTCTCGCTTTCTTTCCACTTCTTTCCTTCTTTCTTTTCGCCTCTCTCTTTTCCTCTCTTTCTTAGACAAATAAATATCATTATCAATATCTGTTTTTACCCCTTTTGTTTTTATTTTTGGCAGTCTCACTTAATGTTAATAAAAAAACAAATCTGCATATTTTAATAAAAATGTGTGTGTGATATTTGTTCATGTCTTGCGGCTCTCAAACATCTGACATTTATTCTATGTGGCTTTTACGCTGAGCAAGCTTGGCCACCCCTGCCCTAAACGTTTTCCACTTCCTTGGGGATGCTTTCCCAATTCTGCCTTGATCTCCTAGCTTTGATCTCAGAAAGTACCTAGTGTGTTGAGTCACTGTAATGTTGTTCAATTTTTTCTTCCTAAGCTTCATGCTGAGTATTGTCGGGAGAAAGATGGTTACCTGCCTCATCGAGTAGTCCAGGCCTGGGAACTTGGCCAGTTTATACAGTGAGTGTAAAAGAGGAAGAGATGGGGATCTCCCCCTGCAAACCCCTTTGTGCTGCAGTGAATACTCTGTGCAATGTAGTTATCCTTGTGTCCCAAGTCCAGCTTTGGCCCTTTCCTTGTCTAGATCCCTTCTTGGCAGTGGCCCAGAGTTCTATTTCTTTCTTTACATTTATTTACTCCATTTATATCCTGCCTTTTCTTCCAATGGGGATCCAGAGCAGGTTTCCCCTCCATTGTATCTTCACAACAACCCTGTGAGGTAGGTGAGGATGAGAGTGTATGACTGACACAAGTTCATCAAGTAAGCATCCAGGGCAGAGTGTGGATTCAGACCTGGGTTTCCCAGACCCTAGTTTAACAGTCTTACCACTACACCATGCTGGCTCTCCTAGTTTGTAAGAGACTCAGCTTACCGAATGGCAGCCCTTTCCAGTGAGGGAGGGAAGGGAAATGGTCATGGTCATTGTCACTGGTGGGGGGAGAATTCGAGTCTAATGCAGTCTGCATCCTGTCCAGTGAAACGCTTCCTCAGAAGGGTTGGGGGGGGCGGAGGCCGGGGGGGGGCCTTTGTTTCCTCCCAATCTGAGACTGCTCCGTCTTCCCAGACATACTTCCAAAGGGGCTGACATTGTGCTGCTTGGTGGGGACCTGAATATGCATCCAGATGATGTCGGTGTTAGGCTGCTGCGAGGCTGGGCAGGCCTGCAGGACTCCTTCACGGCTGCAGAGAAGGTTGAGGTGAGTGCGTACAAGACCATGAAATACTCAGGACGGCTAGAGGGTGGTTTTATTTCTCTTGACTCAGCATAAGAAATTGACTCTTCATTGTGGAGAAGGTGGTGCTTGGGGCCTAGAAACAACAGCACTGCACTTTAGTTAAGAAATCCATTTAGATCCTTGCCTTGGTTGGCATGCCCTGCTTCGTCCACACTGTGGAATTCCTTTTCCTTCCTAAAACTTCCCAGCCAGGCAGGATCCATCTGGCCCAGCTTGCTGACTTAATGCTGAAAGTTAGGCTTCTGCAGGTCACTTGATTAAAACAGAAGCAAATTCAGGTTCTGGTCTTTCTTGCAGGGCTGTGAAGATGGCTCTACTCTGGTGCCGGCCAACTGTTTCACAAACCAGAAAGAAATGCGGTTTTATCCTCAGGGGATTCGTATTGACTACATTCTTTATAAGGTACGTGCAATCTTTGGAGGCATTGGAAATGGAGAATGGGCCAAGGTAGGGCACAGAGCTCAGGAAGTGGCTGAATGGCAGTCTTTGCTATCCAAGTCTGTGTCTCTCCCCTAGAATACGGAGCCAAAACAGCTTCTATTGCTTTTGGCTGCAATTTCATATGTGGGTGTCCAAAACGATGTGTTGTCTGGCTGAGTACATCTTAAGCAAGCGACCCATCATTTGGAACTCATTTCCTTGATTTGGACATGTTCTCTCTGACGGCTGCTATCAGGGGAACAGCTTTTCAAGCTGGATCAGGTTTATGGCTTTAGAGCTGGAACATACAAAGATGCAAGCATCGCTGTACAAGAACTTGCTGCATTGCATTTTGAGTTAAATCAGCTCTGGCCACCGAGACACTTCCAGTCTTTCTAATTTCTGAGCACATCGACAGTTCTCTCACCAAGAACTGAAGTCAGACTAAATGGCTTGTAAAATGGGGGCAGCTGCCTGACTAATCCAGCCCTTCCTGCAGAAGGTGTGCAAGTTCTTTACTTTGAATGTGGCTGTTCATGGCTTTGGTTGTTCTGATAGCTGAAGAGCTTGCTTTGCACACCAGAACTGTGATGCTGCTTTGGGAATTAAGTTCACACAAGGCTTGCTGCTTTAGAACAGAAACAGAAATGCTTTACTGTAGCAGAACTCCATACTGAATAGGGAAGGGTAGAGGGACCATTCTAACTATCTGTCTATGCTAGGACGGAGAGAGATAGAAAAGAGCATATCTTGCCCTCACAGAAAGGAAAAACAGAAATATCAGCCAAAAGGAAGTTCTCTGAGAACAGCAATGTAGTATCAAAGGGACAGCGGCAGAACAGAGCAAAGGAAGGATCCAAAGAGGGGTTTTTAGCATAATTTCTTTTATTTTCTTTAAATTCTTTTGTTTTAAAGACATAGCAAACATAAAAATGGGAAACTTATATGAAATTGCTTTAGTGATTTTTACATCTTTTCACACATCTGTGACCATTGGTTTAACTCAATAGTATGACCCAGATTTTGTGCCCACTTTATCATAACATGTTTAACCACTTCATCTTGGGTCTTATTTTCTAAAAGCAATGTATAAAGTGTCTTAATAAGTTTCTCATCAGTGTACATCAATATCTTATCTATCTCTAATATGTTGTCATAAAACCCTGTCGGCTTGTCTTTACTATATCTTGAATCAATTTGAGTTTTTTGCCACCATGTTAAAGTTTCCATTGGTTTCAATTCATTTCTGCTGTTTAATAAGTCTTCATATCTCAAAATTATTTATTGAAATAAATTAGGATTTGTAAAAGCTTCTAACAGAGCAACCCATTTTGGGATCTTGGTGTACAAATTGTTTTTAGCTTCTTCCCATACCCTCAATAAAGAGGCTCTAATACAGGGGTCTTTTGAGGCCGGAGCGCACCAGAGCCGGTGAAAATGGTGGCAGTGGCAAGCCCTGCCCCCAGCTCCCTGTGCTGAAGTGCTGGGGCCGGAGGGAGGTGCGGAGAGCCCTGCAGCCGGGTCCCCCGGGCCTGCGCCGAAGCGCTGGGGCCAGGGGGAGGCGCGGAGAATCCCGCAGCTGTTCTTCCCCTCTTTCTCTCTTTTAATCCCCTTTCCTTCCTTCTTTCCTTCTCTTTCTTTCCCTCTTTCCTTCCTTTTTTCCTTCTCTCTACTCTCTCTCTTTCCTTCCCTCTTTCCTCCTTCTGTGGCCCAAGTCTAGTGAGTAGGAGTCTCTTCGCTCCCCTCCACCCCACAGGCCAGCTGGGGAAGGGAAGGGGAGGCTTTTGAAGATGCCTTCGCCCCACCTTGCTTCCCCTTCTGACATCACTTCTGGTGATGTCAGGGGGCGTGGCATATGCTAATAGCCTAGTAGCTCATTAGCATACCGTATGCTAATGAGCTTCTGCAGCTCTTTTTCTACGAAAAGACTCCTACTCTAATAAAATGTTGTTTGAAATATTTGTGAATAGTTGCCCTCCCGTACCATATAAAGGCATGCCAACCTAACATAAGATCATGTCCTTCTATTTTCAAAAGCCTTGTATTTTCTAGAGTAATCCAGTCTTTTATCCATGTCAGAGCTACTGCTCTATAATAAAGCAACCAATCGGGTAATGCAAAGCCTGCTCTCTCTTTGGCATCTTGTAATGCTTTAAGCTTAATTCGTTTTTTACCTTGCCAAATAAATTGTAACATCATTTTGTCAAGTTCCTTAAAATATTTTTGATTTCAAAAAATAGGTATTGTTTGAAATAGGAAGATCAGTCTTGGTAATATATTCATTTTGATAGTAGCAATTCTTCCCATTAAAGATATTTGAAGATTTTTCTATTTTTCTTTCTTTCTTCATTTCTTTCATCATTTCCATATAGTTATTTTCCATCAAAGAACTACATCTATTTGTTTTGTTCATTCCTAAATATTTGATCTTTTGAATTTCTAAACCGGCTATTTCTTGCAGTTGTTGATCTTGAAATTTTATCATGTTTTTGTAAGCATTTTTTGTTTTTTACGATTAATTTTAAGTCCTGCCTCCTCTCCATAGTCTTGCAGAGAGTTTATCAACTGTTTTATAGAGCTTGATGGATTCTCTAAAATAAATACTAGGTCATCTGCAAATGCTTGGAGTTTATATTCTTCTCCTCTTAGTCTGAAACCTTTAATTTGTGCATCCGCTCTAATCGCATCATTTAAAACTTCAAGAGCAAAAATAAACAATAAAAGTGAAATGGGACATCCTTGTCTGGTTCCTTTGTGTACCTCTATGTTTCGTGATAAATCTCCGTTGATAAGAATCTTGTCATGTTGTTTTTTGTGAATATCTTTGATCATTTTATAAAATTCCATACCAGCTTGAGAATTTACAATTAGTTCAAACATGAAATTCCAACTGACATTGTCAAAGGCTTTTTCCACATCTAAAAAAATTAAAGCCATTTGTTTTTCTGAGTGAGCTTCATAATATTCTAAAACATTCAGTATCATTCTCACATTGTTTCTAAGTTGTCTTAGAAAGCCTGCTTGATCTTTATGTATCATTTGAGAAAGAACTGTTTTCATTCTTGTAGCTAAAACAGAAGCATAAATTTTATAATCCACATTTAACAGGGAGATTGGTCTATAATTTTTAATTTCTTTTTCATTTGAGTTTTGTTTGTATATAAGTGTTATCAGAGATTCATTCCAAGAGTCTGGAGTTCCCCCTTCAGTTGTTATATTTTGTATAGCAGCTTTTAGTGGGTGTATCAATTGATCTTCAAATACGTGGTAAAATTCCGCAGGAAGTCCATCCGGTCCAGGTGTTTTTGCCTCTCCCTCCCCCCCCAAATGCTTCTGTGACTTCAGCGAACAATATTGGGTCATTTAATATTTTTCTTTGATCTTCTGAAAATATTTTAATTTTGTGAGTTTTAAAATATTTTCTAATTTGTTCCTGTGATGCTTCTCTTTTCATATACAAATTTTCATAATATGATTCAACTATATATTTCAAGTCCTCCAATTTATTTATTTCTTCTCCCATATCGGTTTTAAGTGTTTTTATATACCTTTTCACCTTTTCCTTACATAATTTATATGCTAACCATCTGGTTGGTTTATTGGCATTTTCAAAATAATTTTGTTTGGCATACATCATTTTTTTGCTATTTCCTGTGTTAATAGACAGTTCATTTGATGTTGCAAAAGTGTAAGTTTAATTTTTTTCTGTTCAGTTGAAGGATTCTGTTTCATCTTTTCTCCCTGTTTTTTAATCTGATCTTGGATCTGGAAATATTTTTCTGACCTCTGTTTCCTAACATATGCTGATTCTCTAATCATCCATCCTCTAGCAAAGGCTTTGAATGTGTCCCATACTGTTTTGATGGAGATTTCTGGTTGAACGTTCTGTTCAAAAAGCATTTGAAATTCTTTTTTCGATTCTGTTACGAACTTTTCATTCTTTAAAAGAAGTATTCAGTGACCATCTGTTTCTTTTGGGAATATCTTGTATTTCAAGAGTGATCTGACTATGGTCAGCAAAGGTTGCTGGTAGGATTTCCACTTCTAATATGTCATTTGTCATTGTAGTAGAAATCCAGCACATATCTATTTTTGACCAGGATTTATGCCTTGCTGAATAAAAGGTATAATCTTTTTTGGTGGGTTTCTCACTTTCCAGGCATCCACACAATTATTTTCTTCCGCTAGTTGAAAGAATGTTAAGGGAAGGACGTTTCCTTGTTTCCATTTTCCAGTAGAAGGATTCTGTCAAAGACAGCATTGTAGTCTCCACTCATGCACATTTCATCAAAATCCTGTTTTGAGATCAATTCCTGTAGAATTTTATAGAATTTCTCTTGGTGTTGATTTGGTGCATAGATATTTATGATAAGAGTCTTTTTGCCTTGTCTTTGTATTTGCACCAATAAAATCCATC